GCTATAATCACCAGTGGGGTGACATGCATTTAATCACAAATACAATTCTCTGTGGGACTCAGAGAGGATGTTTGCCAGGCAGCATTTCTTTCTGATAAAACTGCTACTGTTGGAACGTGATAATGATCACTAGCCTGAAGACAACGCATTTTGTCTGAATGCTTTTAAGAACTCTTCTGCTAAACAAGATGTCAGCTACCACAGTAACTAAAGACAGAGCAATTCATGGAACAATACCGCTAGATGACAGCAAAAATTGTCCTGTTTGGTCTGTTCATACATAATTCATTAAATTCAAGGGATTTTTTTCCCCACAGGTTTTGCAAGCTAAAAAACAGTACTGAGAGCCCCAGAACTGGATTAGAAGAACAGTACAAACTATCAAGTTGTAAGAGTTTTCAATCTTTTGAGAAGTGCTGTGCCAAGAAAGAACCATGGCTCAAAACGATACAGAATTTTCAATACGCTTCAAAAGTAGTATTTACAGTAGTCTATCACTCACTGAAACAATCTCTGTGTGTTTCCAAGGGTTTAGGTAGGCGTAGCAGGGCAAACGTAATTGGAAACTGTCAGAAAGGTCACTTTGTGCAAAATGAAGAAACAGAACATACGTAGTTTGAAAGAACTGCTGCTGTACAAGATTCTATAATACATGAATTTGATAGAATGCAGACTTATCTCCCTTTGAGAAACAGAATCTAAATAACAGATGGAAAATCCTGCTTTCATTTATATTAGTTATAAGCCCAAAGACTATCGCTCAGATCCGTGCTGGGTTATCTGGTTTTCTAAAAACAGCCGTTCAGAAAGTTTAATCCCCATTCTTCACAACGTTGAAGAACGCTGGCTATATAAGCACCGCTAAATGATCTCTGATGTATACCACATGAATGCTCAAATCCTTTCACCCCACACACAGTCCAGACATCAATTATATCTTAGGTGTTTATACACTGGCCTGTTGGAGACATGAGGGGAAAAAGGAATCTTTATGTAGCCATGGAACAACCCTTTATTGCTGTGTGGTTATTTGCTACTGGAGCCACAAGGCTTTGGTAGCTCTTCAGTCCTAGGGCACAGATTCCTAGAGCTGTTAAGGTCATGGAAAGAGTCACAACAATAGCTTTTTGGTTCTGTTCTTGACCCATATAGGGTTGCACCCTCTCTGTGCTGTCTCCCCAGAACTTTTCCTTCTGCACACTAGAATATCATTTATTCTAGTTCTTTTAGTATCTCCACACCTAAAGGAAGAAAGGACACCAATTAACCAGGCACAAAAACCCTAATAATAAATTATAGACTCATTAGTGCTGCTGTCTCCATGCTTATTTTCTCATCCTACCTAAGCATGCACACTATTTTTTTTTTCTTTAAGATACTCATGTTAATGACAAACATTCCTAGATCATGGGATATGAAGATTCATATTAGCACAGAAGATGACAAATATAACTGCTAAAGAGTAGACCTATTTACTGTAAATCACATGCCTCAGAGATTCTATTTGCCAGTCCAACACAAATGTGCCTTTGAGCCTACACTTCACAGAGATAAGCAGCAACAACAGAATAGACAAAACAAATTCTGCTGGGAAATGCCACAGCCCTCATTAAATAATTTCACATAGGTCCAGCTCAGATATTTAGAGAAAGAGTGAAAGCAGTAAAGAAAATCCATGTAGTTTCAGAATATTTACTGTTTCCTGTGTTTTAGTAAGAAATTGAATAAGAAACATATTTCCTAAGTAACAAAGATGACAGCATTAACATTTGTATTATCAAAAGAACTTTTACTCTCAGGTCAAGAAGGCACTCACTGTTCTTTCGATTTTGATGAAAATTTGACTGAAGGACAAAGCATTATACATTTACACTATAGTTCTGCCTATCTTCAAGAGACTGCATGCACACTATAGCCTGTTGGCATTCACAGCCTGTTGGCATTACAGAAAGAAGGTACATGAAGGTTTTACCAACAAGCATATGAAAGAACTTTAATATATTTATGTAAGAATCTTTTAAGCCACTTGTCACAAGCAAAATCATAATTTTCATGTGGAGGAAAGGTGTTGGTTTCCAACACAAACGCATTCTTGAAGAAGAGAGCACAAGATGGAAGAATAAGCACACACAATATTCTACTTGAGGAATAATCCCAAAAGTGAATTATTTTTAACCTTTGCCTTATAAATAGGATTTTGGTTTCTTCTAGTCAGTGAAGAAGTGCCCAATCCTAAACCTAACACTTACGTACAATCAGAAAACCAACAAAAAACATTTGGAGAAGCATAAGCAGATCCTAAGAAGTTAAATGCTTCTTACCAGCAGATGTGCCCTGGATGACTGGACTTTTGCAAACATGAGAACCTTCTAAACACATTTTTTGTGCACGTAAGCAACACAATGAGTTGAGTGCCTTACGTTCCCAATGGCTCCTGAATGAGGATTCTGACAAAATGCATTCAGCACCATGCAGATTTAGGCACTTAAACAAAAACTGTAACTGTTTTGACAGAAATCTGCATTCCAATTTATTTCCTGTGAAGCAAACATGGCATATTTAAAGTGGATATGAAGCTTCAGCAAGTTTCATTGTTTGCAATGTTCCGCTTAAAGCTACAGTTTGCCAGTGCCAAGATTACTAAAAAAACAAAACGACCACTTGTTTTGTCAAGAAAATCTGTCATCATTTGATGGCTCGAAACAATGTCATATCTCAACTGAGACACATACGGTCAACAGGCAGGTTTTCTTCTGAAATAATACCATCCTTTCCAAGTAAAGCCAAACCAAGAATAAAAAATTAGACTTACTTGCATTCCACTACAACACAAATTGACCTACCTAGACAAGTGAAAGGGAGAAATCTGTCTGTGTAAGAACACCGGCCACGCGTGGATCAGAATCTTAAAACAATGTTATACTTCATCTTTCCAGTAGTCTTCTACTACTTTAGGCACTTTGAAATATAAGAAAATATATTTTCTTTCAATAAGAAAATTCTTATGACTAGTAATATTGGTCAAGTATATAAATAGTGACTACATTACATACTAAATATTTAGTTTCAATGCATTCCACAAGGAAAACAAGACGTTATGTTCATTCCTGCTTGAGTACCATCCTCAATACAAAATTTAGAATGCCACCTAGCGGACAAACAGCATTTGCTTGCCAGAGGAATTAAAACAAATGCTGTGGAAGCTATTTCAAAAGAGTTTAGTATAACCCAAAGATGTAGTTCAGACAGAATGGGGACATTAGAAGGAAGATTTTCAAAGGTATCCAGATGTTTCATGTACTAGATATTCATCCAAAAGAAATAAATCAGTGGAAGTTAGGCATGTTTAGAAGCACAGCCAAGTATACACACACATCTTCAGATGCTTAAAGACCTTGAAATAACAAACCACTAAGATATTGATAGTAATTTCTGCAGAGGAAAAGGTTTCATTTGAAAAGTCTAAGTTCCTATTCTTTACAAATTTCATAAACCTCTTCCATTTATAGACGACCACAGCAATATTTAGGAACTATAGAGAAAACACAGCTCGAATGATGCTATAGTCCGATTAGGTGTGGGAGGCCTCATGAACGAGTACTGAACAGCATTAAAGGCATCTACTGAGGACCATGCCTAAAATTAACACTCAGACAAAGGAAAGCTATATAGGCTGGTTAAATGCAGATACAGGGAGAAACAGCACCAATTGCTGATTACGAATCATATAGGCCACATGTTTCCAAACAATAGAATACCTGTCACTTCTATGCAACCTACCCCAGGAAACCCTGACTGCCTGTGCACTGACATGAGCTGCTAGGTAAATGCAAGTACCCCTAACCAGGTGGTGAAGAGAAAGGTGGTAGATGAAGGGATAAGGATGGGTCCCAGGCTGTGGCAAGTATGGAGCTGCAGGCATGCCTTCTGTCTATAAGCACAGCTGAACAGAGCTGGTAGCAGCCACTACTGCAATCAGTACACTTTGCCGTTTCTGCTGGTACCCAGGGCTGCTAAACATCACCTAATTGGCTGATGTGTCAGAAAAGTCAGTCGGGAAAACCCTGCTGTAGACATATTCCAAGCCAAAAAGCAAAGTCTCCTTAGCAGAAGCAGCACTCCCTCGGTTGCCTGTAGGTAACATGACATTAGCAACGTAATTCTGTTAGCGTAGTATGTTCAATACACTTCGAATCATGAAAATCCATGCTCAAGTTTTGTCCTGAATATTTATCAGAAGGTTGCTCAGCAGAGTTCTACTGTACTTAAACGCTTCGTAGACTTCTCTTCAATCATAATGAATGATGAGTTGTGATTACAGAACTTTCCTTTCATTTCCAGCTAGCATCGCCCCATTCTTTTGGTGCACCTTATATCTTCTCTTGCACGTGAACAATACTAGTAATTGGGGGAATTAAGCAGGAGGGACTAGTTTAATTAAAATTTTTAAAGTTATAACTTTATTTAAGTTACAACTTTATTTAAGTTTCCTCAGGAATGTTATAAATAAAAATAGCAAGAAAAAAGAGCTGTTCGAGTGGACAAGGAGTACTATGGTCCTTCTGACTAAGGATACCCCAGACCATCAGGAAGACATCCCTAAAGGTGTATTACCTGAGTAATCTCTATAATCTTTTAACCAAGAGAGTACAATTAATCCTCCAAATTTTTGTGGGTCACCAATACGCTATTTTCACTAAGTTATAGATGGGTCATTTAAAAAAAAAAAAGGCACTGCAGATGACCATCTATGGTTTCTATGGTTTTACAAGTCCCAAGGTGTGTGTATGGCAGGAGAGATTATGGAATACTTACTCTTGGGTGTGGGTAAAAGTCCCAGCAGTGAAAACAATAACAAAGTGATTTTAAAAGTACAATAACTAGACGCAAAAGAACGCTTACAAAGAGAAAACAACGTACATACATGCCAACAACTGCAGCAGTTCTCTGGGAACTGCAATTTTTTTCCCCAGGCAACAAATATATAACGGGAAACAAACCTGTTTCCTACGGTGCTTTTTACTCCTTCCCCAAGTCAAATCTGGGCAGCTGCTTCCACAAAAGCACGTATTTTAAACACGCTACAGATCTAGCCACGGAAATTTGGCAGTGCTAAGTAGGAGCTCCTGGGGGACCACGCTCTCCGACCTCCCTAGGAGGCAGGCGCACTAACTCACTTGCCTTACAAGCCGTGCCACCCAGTCCTGCACGCCGGCTGACTCCTGCGCCCCGGCTCACAGCACAA